AAGAAGTGAATGAAATGGGTGTCTGGTGGCAAGTTTCTAGGCAGAGGAGCACCCGTGCATAGGCTCTGCAGTAAGAGTATGCTTGGTGTACTCCAGCCAAAGCGAGGACACCTGTGTGGCTGGAGCAGAGGGGATGGGGATGTATGGATAGGGAGACACAGGGGAAGTAAACTTAGGGGTCAGTATTATTTCATATAGGGGCATGAAGACATGTGCAAAGACCTTTGCTTGTAATTGGAGTGAGGTGGGAAGTCACTGGAAGTTTTTGTCTCAGTCTCCGTCTATTTGCTATATAGCGAGACTGTAATAGGGTCAAGGTGTTTATAGGAGAGTCAGAAGTCTAGTGGGATAATCTGGGTAAGAGATGATAGTGGTTTGAAGCGTGGTATTAGCTATACTTGGTGGTAGCTAGTGGTCAGGTTTCCATCATAGTTACAACTTATGGGATCTGCTGATGGTTGGGATGTGGGTTAAGGTTGACTCCAAGGTTTTTGGCCTGAGCAGTGGGAAGCTTGGACTTATTAACTAAGAGGTAGAGGAGCAGGATTGGAGAGATTACGTGTGTTTCTCAATTGGGTACAAATCTCATGTGATTGTATTCAGGTATAGTGAAACTTTAGAGGTAAAGGAAAGAATAGAAATCAACTTTAAGTAGGTAATGCAATAAGAGTCGCATTGAGGTAGGTGGCTATATTTCACTTTATTTCCATTAAATGGATTACAGTTAAGTCTGATGAAACTTAGGATCCTTTTTATTTTATTTTATTTTATTTTTTGAGATGGAGTCTTGCTGTCTTGCCCAGGCTGGAGTGCAGTGGTGCAATCTCGGCTCACTGCAGCCTCCGCCTCCTGGGTTCAAGAGATTCTCCTGCATCACCCTCCCGAGTAGCTGGGATTGCAGGTGCCCACCACTATGCCCAGCTAATTTTTGTACTTTTAGTAGAGATGGGGTCTCACCATGTTGGCCAGGATAGTCTCAAACTCCTGACCTCAGGTGATCTACCTACCTCGGCCTCCCAAAGTGCTGGGATTACAGGCATGAGCCACCACTCCTGGCCAAACCTTAGGATCTTTAACTTCTTTCTGATTGGGGATGAACAGAGGTATAAAATACATGAATAAAGAGCTATGCAGGCAAAACCCAGTCACAGGCACCATCTATCTTCATTATGAATTAGGGCAATCAAACTTTTATTTTTGCAAAATTATAATTTTTAAAATCATAGCTACTTTTGTACTCAGTTGTGATTGAGTATTATATACAATGGATATTTGGTTCTAGGAAACAGAACTGCTGATAAAAAGAATGTGTACATGCTTGTTGAGCTGCTTAATAAATAACTATTTGATGATCATTCTGCAGTTATGTTTAAAGGGCAGTCCTTCTTCTGTTGCTATAGAGAGTTCATTTGGCTTCTAAAAATGGACATAATTTCAAGGGGTGGCCAAAATGTATCAATTAGCCTGACAGACAGCTAGGTCTTTTTAACAGATCTATAAATTTCCAATTTCCTTTGCCCTGTTAACCATGGTTAAATCATCCTGAACAAGATCGTTCTTTTGAACAACAGCCTCCTTATTAGCTGAGATCAACTCAGATTAGAAAATGAAGAATATGCTAGGTGCTAAGAACTCTTTATGAAACCACATTTATAGGATGAGTACAGAATGAAGATTAATGTGTTATTTTCAGCTTCTAAATCACTGATTTAAAAATTTATTTTCCACATACCACTGCTGGATTAAACACTAATATATATTTGGTTTGTTTACTTGCTTGCAAGTATTATCTTTTCCTCTTTGACCTTATGTATTAGTGGAAAGGAATGATTTTTAATTTAAATGTATCTTGCTTTGCACACCACATGTGTTTCTGAAAGTACTATACATTAAATAGGTTAAATTAATTATTTTTTCACGTTGAATTACAGATTAATGAATAGCTTCTTTGTTTTAATGTCTGACTGATTTTCATTTGCTTTTGGAATATAATACAGGATTTTTAGCACATCATGTGGACCTTATGTGATCTGGACTCTGTATACCTTTGCAGGCAACCTTACCACACTCTCCTTTTCTGTCTCCAAGCCCCAGTGACACTGGCCTTTTCTCTACCCCTAGTACTTAAGACTTAAGATTTTTGCACATATTGTTTAAAATTTTAAGTCTCCAACATTCCTTGCTTTGTTTTTTAAAATATAGTACACATAGTACATTAGTTTCTTAATTGTTCGTCTTTCTTTAGCTAGAAAGGAGGCTCCAAAAATGAATGTATTTTTGTCTTTCTATTCACTACTGAATCTCTACATCTAAAAGTGATGAATAAACAAATAAATTGACAAATGAATAAGGAATTCCTTATAATGGAATACAAATTTCACTTCTCTAAAAGATAATGCCTCATACTAACCTCTAACCTCTTCACCCATGTAATTTAATTAAACAAATACTTTTTTTTTTTTTTTTTTTTTTGAGAGGGAGTTTCGCTCTTGTTACCCAGGCTGGAGTGCAATGGCGCGATCTCAGCTCACCACAACCTCCGCCTCCTGGGTTCAAGCAATTCTCCTGCCTCAGCCTCCTGAGTAGCTGGGATTACAGGCAAGCGCCACCATGCCCAGCTCATTTTTTTGTATTTTTAGTAGAGATGGGGTTTCACCATGTTGACCAGGATGCTCTCGATCTCTCGACCTCGTGATCCACCCGCCTCGGCCTCCCAAAGTGCTGGTATTACAGGCTTGAGCCACCGCGCCCGGCAATTAAACAAATACTTAATGAGTTTTTCCTCTGGTCAAAACTACGCAGGGGGAAATAACATCATGTATATAATGAAAAGACCATGCGTTTTCAAACAGAAAGATCTCTTCCACTTTTGCTGCCTGTTATAATTTGGTTAAGTATCAATTGAGCCTTGGATTCTTCATCTGTCAAACAGAAATGGAAATATCTATTTTGCAGGGTTATATAAGGATTTTGATAAGCATATATTTATTGATAAGCCTGACACATAGTCAGTGCTCAAAAGATGGCGGCTGTTATTACTGTCACTGGAAGATAAGCTCTTAGAAGGCAGATTATACTTGCATTCCCTGTGCCTTACTCTGAATAAAGGCTGATTAAACAGTCTAGCAATGGGAACCATAGCAGAATATGTGCTACTCCTCAGTTCTCAAGGGCCTTAAAAATCTAATCAAGAAAATGCACTCCAAAACATATTCATAAACTATTTAGATAATAAAGAAAAAAATACATATTACAATTTATAATACACATGAAATTAGGGCAAGACGTGTCTTACAGACCATACATGCTTTACACGGCCAGCTAGGAAATGATAGGAGGTGGTTGGCTGTAGTTACTTCGAAATGATCACGTTTGTGTGTTTTAAGATGTATAATGTAAGCCTCCTATGAAAGTGTTCAATTTCTTCGGCAAAATTTTATGCTATCTATGCCAATGTTGGATAAATAGATTAACTTGCTACTTTGTGTTAGTGTGATTGCAGACAAAATTGGGTTATTGATCTTGGGTATCAAGGTGAATTTGTCATAGTAGTGGGCGCTTGTTTTTCCTCTTTAACAGCAGCTGGCTAATGATCACAAATAGGTTCTGATGATGTTGGGTAATGTTGGTCAAACAGTGCTGTATTGTGCAGAGCACATGGCAATGCTTCAAAACTAGAACATAGACAATTCCACTTCTTTGTAGTGTGCTTTGCCCAGGCTTGAAGTTGTATTGCATCACCCATAAGCATTACATATGGCGGCTGTCCTTTCATCATACCAAATTCTTTGCCAGCAGATCTAATAGATGGGACTGAGATAGAGAGCATAAACAAAAGAATGTTTCTCTGCTCCAGATACTCTCTCTTTTTTTTTTTTTTTTTTTTTGTTGTTGTTGTTGTTACTTAAGTATCTGTGTAATGGCATTTGATATAGAGCCAAACACAAGGGCAGCCCCATTTAAGGTTTTCTTTCTTTCTTTCTTTCTTTCTTTCTTTCTTTCTTTCTTTTTCTTTCTTTCTTTTTTATGAGAGGGAGTACCACTTTGTTGTCCAGGCTGGAGTGCCATGTTGAGATCTCGGCTCACTGCAACCTCTGCCTCGTAGGTTCAAGCCATTCATCTGCCTCTGCCTCCTAAGTAGCTGGGATTAAAGGCATCCACCACCATGCCTGGCTGATTTTTGTATTTTTAGTAGAGATGGGGTTCACCATGTTGGTCTGGCTTGTCTTGAACTCCCGACCTAAGGTGATCTTCCCACCTCAGCCTCCCAAGGTGCTGGGATTACAGGTGTGAGCTACTGTGCCCGACTTAAGGTTTTTGATACATTGATGATCACTCAGAAAACTTCAAGTTCCTAGTTATAGAAATGAATTCAACCACCAACACATCCCAGAAGCCCTGACATTAGGAAAAGAGATGGCCAACCATCTTTCACCCACTTCAAGTCCTTCAGGGATGATCTGGAATCTACTTGTGCTAACTGGTACCCAGGCACACATCAACCTGCCCAGACTACCAAATGCAGAAACAAGCCCAGTAGGAGCAGCTGCGTCTGGCTTGCCCACACACCTGTATCGTAGCGGCAGGCAAATGTCCTGGAAGCCTTTGTGTCCACACACTCATACCTACACGACATACACCTAGAGGAAAAGAGCTGAATATTCTTATTCACAAGAAAAGAGGCCTGAATACAGGAACACTATGCTCATGCTACACACAAAAGACACGCTTTGCATGTCCAGCCTTGCACACTTACACTTTCAGGTCTTGCCCCAGACTCCTGGACATCGGTTTGCTTTGCTTTGAGACATTCGCAAACTAGTTCTTCAATCCTGAGAGCGTCCTTAGTGTGGATAAAAGGCAACTTCCCTTAGTCTTTGCCTGTCTCTCCAACTTTTCTCTGCTCTGCGTTCGCTCAACTGCCAGGGGGCCGGGTGGCGCCGGCCAGCCGACCTCCCTCCCAGCAGTGCCCTCCCCGCCCCGCCCTTGTGCCGCGGGGCGGGGCCGAGCTGGCGGCCAGGAAATGCCCTGGAGTGTGTGTCACCTGTCCACGGTGACTTCGTTGATTCCCGGGAGCGCCGCCTTTCCTGTCTGGGTCCCTGAGAGAACTGCCTTGCTCACCTGTGCCCCTGGCGCGGCCCTGGGGAGCTCCCGACAGACCGCCGGGATCGCTAGCTCTCCAGCTCTACAGCCATGAGCAAGTTGGGCAAAATTCTTTAAAGGGGGAGGCTCTTCTAAGAGCCGAGCCGCTCCCAGTCCCCAGGAGGCCCTGGCCCGACTTCGGGAGACTGAGGAGATGCTGGGCAAGAAACAAGAGTATCTGGAAAATCGAATCCAGAGGGAAATCGCCCTGGCCAAGAAGCACGGAACTCAGAATAAGCCAGGTAGGCTGGGATCTGGCCCGCAGGCGGGAGTCCACCTGCCTCTAGCCCTTCCCTTGGGGACAGTCGGCCCACAGCACTGATGTCCCCAGGTGGCCAGGTTTGCTCCTGCAGCCTTTTCTACGAACTGGTACTGACTTTTAGGGTCGTGACTAGGATGAGTTGAGCTGGACGCTGGCCCTGATGGCAAAATACAAAGGGGCGCTAAAAATCTCAGTAATCAAGACGAACAATACTTTAATGCCATAGTTAAAGGACTCAGAACTAATGCCAAAAAAAGAAATGATGAACAAAATATCAAAATTTTAAATAAAGACAGGATTGATATTATTTTTTTCATTTGCCTTTAGCACTTACGTTGTTCTGTACAGCACTTCTTTATTTAAAATTCTCTTTTTAAAAATGTGATGCTTTGTTCATTGTGGATTTTTTGATATTTTGAATTAAAAATATTGCATTAAAATATGATTTGTCTTGATTACTGAGCTTTTTTGCACCCCTGTAAATATTGCTCCTGGTTCAGCTCTTTCTAGGCCAGCCCTGCTGACTCCACTAACCACCAAGTTTTCTGCTATATGTTTGTATATTAAATTACGCATTTTAACTTGCACCTAAATCTTCAGCGAAGCATATTCTATTCTAGTATATTGTGGTTTACCTTGCTCCTCAGCTGTCGAAAACTTTAGCTGGATGTTCTGCTGTTGAGGACTTAAAAAAAAAAAAAAGTAGAGAAATTAAATATTAAGTTTCCTATCACTGACTTTGGCACAAACAATGGGACTTTGAGTCAGTAATGATTCTTGGTGTTCCTGTTGCACCTTGAACACCTTGCTCTTTGCCAGAGTTAATTGGTTCCTTCAGTATAATCTCCTTCTACTGGAATCCTCTAAACAGCAGACGTGGCACATATAAAAACTCTGTGAGAAGCTTGAAGTGATTTGCTCTTGTAACACCAGGTTAATGGCAGACACAGAAATGGAATTGGCAGTATAGGACTCTGCTTACCACCAAACTCAAATATTCACATCCTCCCTCCTGTTGGGCTTCTTTAGTCACAATGAAGCCTTGGGAAGGTTTGTCTCACTCTACAGGATGCTGCTATTGTTTAATGCAGGAAAGGAATGATGTCTCTAGGAGCTGACCTTGAGAATTCTGCCTCTCCCCATAAAGGTATACCAGCTGATTTATGGCCCGCTTATTACCAACAATAAAAATCCTGTATTATTGCATGTAACTTTTGTCCATATTATGGCCTGTTTTAGAGGTAAATGCTGATTTCTGCTTTTACTTTGTGTCTGAAAATATTCTGGGAAGTTATTCAATGTCAATTTCTAAAGAAAGACCATGTCATTATGGCTTGCTAAAAATGTTGTTGGTCATTTTGTTGATTGGCCCTTCCTCTTCAGTTTGATACACACTCTGACCTTTGCTTAGTGTTTGTCAAGGGTTTTCTTCCCTTTGCCATCTCTTTGGATCTGTATATAGCTCTATTTATCGTGGTTGCTCAGCAAATATTATGGGTTTTTTTTTTTTTTTTTTTTTTTTTTTTGAGACAGAGTTTTGCTCTTGTTGCCCAGGCTAGAGTGTAATGACAATATCTCGGTTCACTGCAACCTCTGCCTCCCAGGTTCAAGTGATTCTCCTGCTTCAGCCTCCTGAGTAGCAAGGATTACAGGCATGTGCCACCACACCCAACTAATTTTGTATTTTTAGTAGAGACAGGGTTGGCAGATCCCATCAGGCTGGTCTCGAACTCCTGACCTCAGGTGATCTGCCTACCTCGGTGTCCTGAAGTGCTGGGATTACAGGTGTGAGCCACCGCACCTGGCTGAAACAGATTTTAAAAATCTGAAAAATTGACCATTTGCTTCTAGGGAAGTGGTAAAAATGTAGATATACTTTCAAAGGCAGAGTGCAAAATAATGTGGGTTTTACCGATTTTTTTTTTCAGAAATATTCTTCAATTGGCAATGCACCAAAAATGGATCTCAATTTGACTTTATGAATAAAGACAAAAAAATTTAAAGACAATGCTAATTAAGACTACCAATCTAACTTCCTTAAATCAAGGACGTTATAGATCCAAGTATGAAGGGTGAATAACCTTTTTTTTGAGACAAGGTCTCACCCTGTCCCCCAGGCTGGAGTACAGTGGCACCTTCTCGGGTTTCTGCAGCCTCCACCTCCTGTGTTCAAGTGATTATCCTGCCTCAACTTCCCAAGTAGCAGGGATTACAGGTGTGTACCACTATGCCTGACTAATTTTTGTACTTTTAGCAGAGATGGGGTTTCACCATGTTGGCCAAGCTGTTCTCAAACTCTGGAGCTCAAGTGATCCTTTTGCCTTGGCCTCCCGAAGTGCTGGGATTACAGGTGTGAGCCACTGTGCCCGGCCCTAATTTTTAATAGAAAAGTCATTAACTCTGTCGTCAGAAACTTCACTGGTGTTAGTTTCTAGAAACTCCCAGAGCTTCTAGAATGGCTCTGGGAGTAACAAGAGGCTGGTTAGCATGAGGTCATCTGTAATCTAAGCTATGGAAAGAATTCAATCTTAGGCCCATGCCTTGGTAACACACTCAATATCAGCACCTTCCACATAAGCCAGATAACTTCATATACTTCATAACTTCATGAAGATGGTTACTGTATTCTGTTAGCCACCAAGTGATATAAAATTGTAAAATAAAACCTGATATTCTTAATACTAAATGGTCTGTAATTTATATGATAATCAGAGTGATATAATTTATGTGCATTTGAAATTTTATGAGAGATGGTTGTTCAGCTAATACTCTCTGAAGGCAAGCTAGCATTATATCAGAAAAGACCACAGTCCTAAGTCACTTCAGATTCCTTAAAGATCAATTTCTCTATAACAACAGAAGCTTTGACAGCATTCCAAATTTCAAAATGAGTTTTACTGGTAAAATAGTAACTTTTAATTAGCAGAATAAATGTTAAAAATGAGGCAGAGCATGGTGGCTCACGCCTATAATCCCAGCACCCTGGGGGGCTGAGGTGGGCAGATAACTTGAGGTCAGGAGATTGAGACTGACCTTACAAACTTGGTGAAACCCTGTACTAATTTTGTGCTAAAAGTACTAATTTTGAAATAAAACTACAAAATCAGCCAGATGTGGTGGCACATGCCTGTAATTCCAGTTACTTGGGAGGATGAGGGAGAGGAATAGCTTGAACCTGAGAGGTGGAGGTCACAGTGAGCAGAGATCGTGCCATTGCATTCCAGCCTGAGTGACAGAGTAAGACTACATCTCAATCAATCAATCAATCAATCCATCAATCTATGTAAGAAATGGTGAATTTTGGGGGGGCAGGGTCTCGCTTTGTCACTCAGGCTGGATTGCAGTGGTATGATCAGGGCTCATTGCAGCCTTGACTACCTGGGCCCAAGTGATCCTTCTACCTCAGTTTCTTGAGCAGCTAGCACCACAGGCAGGCACTACCACACCCAGCTATTTAAATTTAAACTTATTTATTTATTTTTGTATAGGTGAGGACTCCGTATGTTACCCAGACTGGTCTCAAACTCCTTGGCTCAAGCAATTCTGCCACAGCCTCCCAAAGTGCTGGGAAGAGCCAATGAGCATGGCCTCATTGGTGAAATTATAGATATTCTAAATATGTGGATTGCTAAAACAGTTTAGATATACTTCCAATACCCTCCCCCTCCCCTCCCATGTATCAACAGGAGGTGAATCTACTAGGTGTATAATTAACACTAGAATGGTGCCTGAAACTAGATCTCAAATCAGTGCAGTGTCTGTCTAGTCTTTAGTTTATGTGGGTTTCTGATGGCGTGCACCTCTGACAGGGCACAGCAGGGAATGTGGCTGTCTTCCTCAGTGAGCCTTTCAATGCAGGGTGAATTGGAGCGCCTGAAAGTACCTAGAGTTGGAACTTCATAGAGCTCATGGGACAGGCTGGCAAATTACTTTTATATGCTTTCCAGTGTATGTTTGTTTAATAATGTATATGCAGAATTTAGTCTGAAACTTGCTTTCATTACAACTCATAGCAAGGTGGTCCAGGAGTAGCTAATTCTCCTCCCTTCAAATTTATTACCATCATAATCTACCAAATTGAACCTGAATACACGTGACCAAATTGATTTTGCAACAGCTGCTATCCAAGGCTCTATTGATCCAAAAGAGTAACAGCTGGAGCTTAATTTATAATTTGGTTGAAAACTTTAAGAGGCCAGAAACTCTTGAATGCAGTTTATTTAGATTACTATGCTATAACTCTTGCTTTATAGGTAGTAATCTACTTTGTGGAAAAGCAAGCTTTTTATACATCATTTAATTTTTGGTTCTGCTTCATCTGAGCCCTGTGTCTTAAAGTCACCTGGATGCATGGGGCTCACCCCCATTTATACTGATATAATTGGCTGGAGTGGGGATCAGACATCATTTTTTCTTAAGTGCCCCCACCTGATTCTGACCTGTGGACCAGCATTAAGGAAGGGGAGCTTAAATCCATAGGAATGTTAATGATGTGAAAAATAAGATCTGTTCCTATCCCAGTGCTTCTGGCCTTGGGAGCTAAAGAGTATCAATATCTCAGCACACTGCAGACCTCTCCTACCACACTGATCTGGCAACATGCCTTACAGGTCACCATTCCACCTATTTTTTTTTTTTTTGCTTAAATATCCCAATCAATTTTTTTGCACATTTAGTAGAAAGTATCTTGGTGTTATAGTTAAGAGCCTAGGCTTCAAAGCAGACAGCTAAATAAAGTCCTAGGTTTGATTTCCATCCCTGCCTGGCCACTTAATAGCTCTGTGACTCTAGACCAGTGCTTTTGCTTGTCTAATTCTGTTTTCTTATCTGCATAGCGGCAACGAGGACATAGATCTTCGGAGTTGCGGGGATGAATGGCATTATTGGGTGACATATTTGGTGCAATGCTTTATAAACATTAGCTCTCGGTATAAACTAATTACATTTTTAAAAGCTGTACTTGGCCCAATTTTGGCCAAA